GGTCTTCCAGTACCTCAAGGGGTCTACAAGAAAGATGGGGAGAGGCTGTTCAGGAGGGCCAGTTGTGACAGGACAAGGGGGAATGGTTTTAAAATAGAGGGAGGTAGATTCAGGTTGGATATTAGGACAAAACTTTTTACCATGAGAGTTGTAGAACACTGGAACAGGTTGCCCAGAGAGGTGGTGGATGCTCCATCCCTGGAGACGTTCAAGGCCAGGTTGGATGAGGCCCTGAGCAACCTGATCTAGTTGGAGATATCCCTGTTCCTTGCAGGGGGGTTGGACTAGATGACCTTTGAAGGTCCCTTCCAGCCCTAACCATTCTATGATTCTATGACGAAGCTCTACGGCTCTCAGCTGCCTTTAGCATCCTCCTTCTCCCTTCTCTGCGTTCTGCTTGGGTTTTCCCTGTTGAAATACAGGTGCTTCCTGGAGCTGGGAGAGCCTTCCCCCTCCTCAGCACGCTTCACTTCCCAAAAGAGGTTCGGCTGCTTGCAGGATAGCCCAAGAAATGAGTCTTTCCTCGTGCCATACTGATGTTTTGTGCCGTATTTAGTGAATCCTTCCCCAACCTGAGGCTTGTGGTTGGCTTTCTGTTGGCAGCGGGAGGAGCGTGGTGCGTGGCCTCTTGCGTATAGACGGATACACGTGGCGGTTTTTGTTGTCTTGTTTTAATCATCAAAATTACTACCACGTACCGTTCCGTAAGGGCAGAGCTGTCGGCTCAGCGGGTCCTGCCCTCCCCGGGGCTGCATCCTGCGGCAGAGACAGGTTCCATTCCGAAGTCCATGCTGAGCTTTTAGCTCTCTCACAAATTCCCATTTCAAAGGGTCAGGAAAGAAAAAAGGAAGAAGCTCTGACTTGGTCGTAGGTTTGTAGGGCAGCACATGGAAAGGTGCCCTTGGGCACCTCGTTGAGGTTACCGTGAACCAGAATTGCTGCCCATCAGGCAAATGGTTTTAACGGGTAAACCAAGGTGGGTTTTTACCAAACGACGCCGGCGCGGCTCCCTGTAACCCGGGGGTGCTAGAGCAGGGGTCTGTCTCTGTTACAGCTTCGTCTGCAGCAAGAGTGGCCACGTCCTGGAGGTCGACTACAAGAACGTCTGCATGAGGAGCGCGCGGCGGCTCCTGCCCGCGCGGCCCCGGGGCTGCCAAAGGACAAGGCGGGCAGCGGCGCAGGTGGGAGCATCGGTGGGCACGGAGCACCTCGGCCATCGTGGGGGTCAGAAACGACAGGCAAATCTCTGGTTAAAAGAAACCAGCTATTTACTTACTGCCGAGGATTATTTTGGGTTGATTAGATCATTGCCAGCTATTTGCCTCTTAAGTGCTGCAAATAATCTTCCTCAGTACAGCAAAGGATCGTTTTAAGAAAGGATTTGAGCGTTTTAAATGCTGATTGCACTTTCAGAGAAATGCCACTTTTAGAATCACGAAACAAGGTCTCAATTTGCTGATGGGAATCTTAATGTAGAGATGGAAAAAGAGCGAAGCAGACCAAGGAAAAAGATGAACTTTTTTTTTTTTTTTTTCATTATTCAGCCTGTGCAGAGTGTTTGGAAAAAAATCTTTGTTGCTGTATACAAAGTAGTACAGCTTTCAGCTCTGCCATTAGTTTTAACAGCGGGAAGAACTCACTTTGAAGTGTGCTTGCTCTGATATCTTGAAACTTAGGGCATAGTTTGCGTTGCAAATTGAGCTGATTAACCGAGAGCACACCCCTCTGAGACGTACGTCACTCCGGTTCTCCCTTCGTGGGTGAGAAAACGCCCAAGAGGAGATGAAACGATGTCCTTGGGTGTCCTCCTGGTAGCAGTGCTGGCTCTCCCCAGTGCGTTGACCAACAGGCTTTAGACCCGAATCAAAAAATCCCAGTTTCTGTAGATCTATATTTTTTCTCTCTAGACTGCAGAAAGGATTTGAGATGTGGAAATGAAAGGGTTTGGTGTCTCAGTTTGTTTAGGACATCCCTTGCAGCACGATCCCGTTCAAGGCAAAAATATGGCAGGGTTTCAAGAGTGGTAAGAATTTCCTGTGCCTGGTGAGAGTAAGCGGAGTTGCAGGATGGCGCGGAGGAGTGCTGGAGAGGGACGGGGGCTGACTGTGTTTTGAGTCCTGGGAAGGGCTGGCTGAGACTCTCCAGCCTGTACTGTCACCGTGGGATTCCTGGCTGCTGCTTCGGAGGCTTCAGCTGCTGGTGCAGGTGGCCCGTTGGACTTCACTCTTGGATGGGGGAACCTTCAGTTTGAGTTTTCTTGTTTTCAAGCGTTTCGTGTTGTGGTTTGGGTTTTCAGGCCCTGGGATCGCTATAAACAGTATCAGCCTCTCCTCAACCTTCTGCGCCACGGGTTCAGAAGACGGCTACCTGCGGCTGTGGCCACTGGACTTCTCAGCTGTCATCGTAGAGGCAGGTGAGTAGAGGTGGGACTGGTGCTTCCGAGCTCCACGTCTCCATCAGCCTGCTGCTGGGAAGCCAAAGCTCCACTGCCATGTCTCCTACAGCAATTCTTAGGATCAAGGGGATCTTTTGTGCCTGCTGGCTCTAGGGTTGGCTGGCTTGGAAGGCTTTTACTTCAACAACAATCACTCCTGTTCATTCTTGTAGCTCGTAGGAGAAAGGCAGGATGTCCTGGGTGGGAGCAGGCGCTCAGTCTTGATTTCTGTGTCCTTGTACCCATGGTTCTTCTGTCCATGAAAAATTAGGGGAGAAGTTGAGCAATTCTTCACTCTTTTTGAAACAACCACCGTAACAGCAGAGCCCGGGGACTTCTAGGAAGGGCAGAGACTGATTTCTCACTGAACTCAAACCTGCAAGTGTTCAATCCTGGAGAAATGTGGGATGCTCGTTCCTGTGTGTGTTACTCCTAAACGTGAATCTGCTTTGGTAACTGTGCCCCAGCTGCTGTTGCAACTTTTCTAGGGGGGGTTTGCTGACTCCTGTGTCTTTCCGCAGAGCACGAGGCTCCGGTGAGTTCCGTCTGCATCAGCCCAGACAGCCACAAAGTCTTGTGCACAACCACTGCTGGGAACCTGGGCTACCTGGATATCCAGTCCCGGGACTATAACACCCTCATGCGCTCTCACGAGGACTCGGTTTTGGCGTTCTCGGTGGAGGGGATTTGGAAGCAGATGGCAACAGTGTCTCAGGACAATACCATCCGCGTCTGGGACCTCGTCTCCATGCAGCAGGTAGGTGAGATGAGAGGCAGTAGGTGTCTCGCGTTTATTAATAGTCCGCCTAGTCTCTGGTTAACAGTCTCGTTATCAAAGCTCCACAGTTCAAGAGCCCTTAAATGTCCTCCCTGAAGCATGGGGGGGTACCATGGGCAAGAAATCCTGGAGTACGGAGTTCTGAGAGTTTTAGCTTGATGCATAATTTGGCCTCAGCTTCTGAAGGTGTTATTAAACAAAATGTTTTCTTTTCCTCCATCATTTTAATACCACTTTTTAACACAAAAAATAATACCCGAGGGCTCTATCTAAATGCCCGAAGACCCAGGATTTCACTGGGCTGTAGATCCATCCAGGCAGGATGAGATCCCTGTTGTGGGACACGCTCGTGGTGGAGGTCTGAGGCCATTTTGTTGTCATGTGCGGTGCCTGTGTCTCTTCCCCACAGCTGTATGACTTCACAGCTGCAGAGGAAACGCCGTGTGCTGTGGCCTTTCACCCCACCCAGCACATCCTGGCCTGTGGATTTGACAGTGGGACGGTGCGGACCTTCAGCTTGGCTGCCTCCGATCTGCTGGTGGAGCACAAGTAAGTGCTGGCAGTGGGAGCTGCACCAGGGCACATATGGGTCTAACTGGGTGTCCTGGCAAGAGCCACAGCGATCATCGTGGAAGTGGGAAAAGGGCTTTTCTGGAGCTCAACAATCAGGTCCCAGCCAAGTGGTTTCCAGGCCTGCTGTGCCAAGGCTCTGGGTAGTACCAGTCCAACCTGTGAAGGGTATGAGGGTTTTCTTTGTGACTTCCTGGTGGACAGTTGGCCAACAGTAGGAAAAGGCTTGTCCTAGAGGGCAGCTGAACAGGGAGCCCTTGCAAGCCTGGGCACGGGAAGTGGAGGGTGCTTCAAAAGGAGAGGGGAGCAAATCTCATCCAGGGACAGCTGGAGTGCTGCACATGCTGCTCAGTTTTCCAAAAAGTTGGAGTGTTGATTGTCCTGGGCTGCTGCAGCCGTGAGCACAGTGGGGTTATAGAATCACAGAATGGTTTGGGTTGGAAGGGACCTTCAAGATCATCCAGTTCCAACCCCCCTGCCATGGGCAGGGACACCTTCCACTACACCAGGTTGCTCAAAGCCTCATCCAACATGGTCTTGGACACTTCCAGGGACGGGGCAGCCACAGCTTCTCTGGGCAACCTGTGCCAGTGCCTCAGCACCCTCAGAGGGAAGAATTTCTTCCTTAGATCTCATCAAAATCTCCCCTCTTTCAGTTTAAAGCCATTGCCCCGTGTCCTGTCACTACACACCCTTGTCCAAAGCCCCTCTCCAGCTTTCTTGTAGCCCTTTCAGGTACTGCCTAAAGGTCCTCTGCCTGCCCCTGATTATTTTGCTCCCCTGGATTCTTCACCATGTTGCACTTGACGTTGCTCCTGTTTTCTGGGGGATTTTGTTTCTTTATTTGTTTGTTCTCCTCCCCTTTTTCATGTTTTCTGCTTTCTTTCAGGCAGCACCGCACTGCAATCACCGGACTGACCTTCTCTCCAGACGGCAACTTCATGTTCAGCTCCTGTTTGCAGGGAACTCTGGCTCTTTACAGCTGTATGGCGCAGAAAAGCCACGTCCTGAGAGTCCTGGGTAAGACCTCGGGGTTCTGGGTTGCCTTTTTTTTTGGTTTTTTTGGTAGCACAAACATCCCAGGACCAAAGCCAAACCAGGCTCAGCCTACTCAGAGAGATCATAGAATCATAGAATGGTTAGGGCTGGAAGGGACCTTTAAAAGTCATCTAGTCCAACCCCCCTGCAAGGAACAGGGATATCTCCAACTAGATCAGGTTGCTCAGGGCCTCATCCAACCTGGCCTTGAACGTCTCCAGGGATGGAGCATCCATCACCTCTCTGGGCAACCTGTTCCAGTGTTCTACAACTCTCATGGTAAAAAATTTTTTCCTAATATCCAACCTGAATCTACCTCCCTCTATTTTAAAACCATTACCCCTTGTCCTATCACAACTGGCCCTCCTGAACAGCCCCTCCCCATCTTTCTTGTAGGCCCCCTTGAGGTACTGGAAGACCGCTATAAGGTCACCCCGGAGCCTCCTCTTCTCCAGGCTGAACAGCCCCAACTCTTTCAGCCTGTCCTCATAGGAAAGGTGCTCCAATGTTTTTCTGATGAACCTTCTGAGCTGTGTCGTTTGTGTTTATGCCATATGCGTGAGCAAAACTCTAACGACTGCCAGCCTTCCCCTACCCATCCTGGATCAAACACTCTCAGCTTGCTCGGTGTTAGCGAGCTGGAATCGCAGAGACCTGCCCTTTCAGGTCTGGCTTCAACAGTTCCTTGCCTAGAAGCAACTCTACAAGCGTAGAGTCTTCTAACTAATGCCCAAGCTCTGATGCCTTCCGTTCTGTGGATGTGCGGTTTAATTTCTTTGAGTTGGATCATTTCCTTGATCCTGCCCGCAGCAGAGAGCCGTGGTGGTGAGTGGAGAAGGTGGAGAGCTGCAGGCAGGGCAGGGCAGCTTTGAAACGTTCATGCCATGTTTTAACACACGCTTTTTGAAATGAGCTGTGGCAGAAAAAAAAAAGAGAGCTGCGTTCTGCAATATTGTACGAAGAGGAGCATCCTGCCGCAAGAAACGCGCATTTGAAGTAGGTGGAGAAGGAAGAGGGGCTCAGAGAAACCAGGGAATTTGTGCAAAATCACCCAGTTTGGTGACAGTGTCAGTGCTGCAGCTGCACCTTTCATGTTTGGACTCTGCTCTGAAGCCATGTTCACTGCCCAGCCGTGTTCCAGGCACAGAACAGTGGAGTTTTGGTAGTGCAACAAATACAGAGAATCACTCTGATTTGTGTGATTTTTAGACCTTTGGGTCTATCTGCCCACCGGACTGACATCAGCGTGGTGGGGTTCGGCACTCACTTCATTCGGCTCAGGGTTCAGACACCCAGGCTGCAGCTGAGATGTCCCACCCATAGCTCCTCATCACAGCTTCTCATAACCTTAGAAAATAAACACTAAAATCAATGTTATTCCCTTGACTTTGTTCTGCATTCCTTGAAAACACCACGCGTTCCATCAGGCGACAAGCCATGTATATAGACCTTGTCTTTGAGGTGGTTCACTGCACGCTTTGAGTATTGCAGGTACAATTTGTAGCATCTTCTACAACAGAGGTTGCTTCTTTCTCAGGCCAGAACGTTAACCCAAGGCTGGTTCGGAGGCAGGAGAAGCTGGAACTCCTGGTCAGCAGCACCATCACAGAGTGAGGAGGCTGCAGTGTGGGCTTTGCTCCTCTCTTCACTCTCTCTCTTGCTGTGGCCCTCAGGCAATGTGGTGGCCCGGGATGCTGGGAGCGATCCGGGTGCTTTGGTGGTCAGCGGGGACAGCCGTCTCTTGGCCTTCGTGGGCCCCTCCAAGTACATTGTGACCGTGATGGAGGCCTGCTCGCTAGATGAGGTACCCAGTGGGCTGCCCTTGTTCCTGGGGGAGGGTGGGGAGGGGAGCACGTGCCACAGGGGAAATTCCCATCAGATGAGACAGATCAAGGGCCTTGGGCATCAGCAATGTCAGAGAGAGCCCTTCCCTGCACAGCAGACCCTTGCTCAGGGTGCTTACAATGAGGTTTGTTTTCCATTCTGTGAGATAGAAACAACAACGTCCAGGTTTCTTCTTCTCCAGCTTCATTCCCCTCTAGAAAGATAATTTGGAGAAGTCTTGTGTAGACTGTTGGCTCCGACTCCTCTTTGTGAGCTGCTCTCCTGGACCCTGCTGCCCCTCATTAGGTGGGAAGGAAAGGGTCTGGGGGGCTCCGTAGCCTTGTGTTAGGAGAGCCCCGAGAGCAATCCTGAGGCTTCTGCAGGATTTGCTCCGGGACGTTTAAGTAGCTCCTTGGTTCACAGCTGCTGAGGGTGGACATCAGCATCCTCGACTTGAACAGCACTGCCTTGGACACGGCAGTGAGAGTCTGCTTTGCTCCGGCGCCTCGAGGCGAGCTCCTGGTGTCCACTTCTTCCAATAAAATCCTTGTGCTTGACGCAAAAACGGGACGGCTGGTGCGAGAGGTAGGACGCTATGAAATTCATGCACTGAGGTCTTGTGTCACGTGGGGCTTGGGCATTTCTTGTCATTGTAGGCAGCTGAACGAGAGACGAGCTCATCCTGGAGTTCACAAGCCTCCAAGACACACGCGTGGCAGCCGTGTAGCTGTCCTGGTGTGGTTGGGCTCAGGGCGAGCCTGAGCTTGTCCGTGTTTTCTGTGCTGTCAACACTCCTGTCCTCTCCCTGAAGCATAAGCAAGGACATGAACTACCTTGGTTAATGCTGCTGGTGCCGTTTTTTGTCCTCAGGTGTCTCCCGTGCACAAGCTGTCCTGTTCTTCCTTAGCGCTGAGCGTGGATGGCCGGTACCTGCTCACTGCTGGCGACAAAGTGATCAAAGTGTGGGACTATCAGATGCGCTTCGATATCAACTTCCAGGTACTGCCCACAAAGGGAGGGAAGGGGGCTAGTGTTGCCCTCATCAAGCATCTCCGATTCCCTGGAGAAGAGAGCAGCAAATGTCCTCTGTGTGACTTGGCCCGGTGTCCCCGGTCCCAGTTTCCCAGCAGCTGAGAAACGCAGCCCTATTCCCACATTGTCCTGACGCCGTGCACTGAGCACAGGCTGGGACTGCCAAAGCACCGCACCTAGTGAGACCCTCGGTGAAGGACAGAGGTGGGTGTTACCTCTGTGCTGGGGGACAGAGCCACCCAGAGAAGAAAACGGCTCGCCCAGGGTTTCAGAGATATTGAGGGTTAGGATAAGACCTTGGGCGCCTTCAGCTTCTGCTCGTTTCTCCAGATCAATGTGTTGAAGGTCAACCCCAGGTTGATCAGCCCTAGGTTTGAGCGCTTTTAGGGGTGGTGCTGGCCTCTGAGGGGATCTGCTGAGGAGTGTAGGCACTCACTATCCGAGGAAGGGTGGTGATAGGACAGGCGTGGGTGATGGAGAAGTTCAAGGCATGCTCTCTCCCAGGTGTATATCGGCCACTCGGAGCCAGTGCGCCAGGTAGCCTTCACCCCAGACCAACGGCACGTCGTCAGCGTTGGAGATGCCGTCTTCCTCTGGGATTTCCTGGCCCTGCCTGCGGAGAGGTCACCCCTAGCTGGGTACGTGCACCATGCTGGGCAGTGCCTTCCCCTGCCCCATCCCCTCCCGGAGTAACGCCAGTCTCCTTCCCTTTCCAGGGCTCGTTCCTCGGAGTCCGCTCTGCTGCCGGGAGCAGGTGAGTTTTCCTCCTCCTGTGAGTTGTGCTGGCCAGCAGGTTGACAGCTCTTCCACAGCTGCTCTTCATGGCAGAGGGTAGGGGTTGGGGATTTATGGTTCCTTCCCTCAGGCAGTCACATAACAGGGGGCTAACCAGGTAATCAGCCCCAAAGGACGGTCTCCAATTAACTAGCACCTCTCAGTGGGCGCCTGCCAAGGAGGGGATGTTCTGGGCAGAGCCACTGGGTTTTCTGGTAGATCTTTCGGCTTTTGCCTTCTGTCCTTCCTTGCCTCCACCTCTTCTGTCTTCTTTTGCCCTGCTCTCACTGTCCCTCCCTTTCTTGAAAGACAGAGGAAAAGTAGCTTCTCCTGTGCAGGAGGAAGCTGGAGAAATGAGCTTAGAGGTATCACCATCGGTCAACCCAGGAGGGCGAGAGGATCTAAGGGATGAAGGAAGTTACACAAACCCTTTTCTTTTCACAGAAGGGAGCTCTGAGAAGCTAAGGGATGCCTCTGAGACACCTCGGCAGACAGTGCCTCTTCCATTGTTGTCCTCGCCACCATCTCTGAACGTCAGCTCTGTCCATCAAGCAGGATGTCCAAGTAAGAGGAACTGCATGCAGGAAAGGGGAAAATTAATCTTGTTTTAGGAAAAACTCCTTGCCTAGTTCAGCGTCACCCATGGAGCTGTCCCTACCTGTGATCCCCTTCCTGCAGACTGACAGTCTGCACTTTCCTTCTCCTAACGTGGCCAAAGCCAGCCAGAAGTGCTGGGGTTCAGCACTGCTTTATCCTCTGCTCTCTTCCATACTCTAAGTTGCTGGCACAGCTTCTCTGAGGGCTATGGGAAATACCTTGTTGGACAGACCCAGTGGGAAATGTCTGCTTAGCCCTCCACCCTAACAGATGGGCTGTTACACGGAGCAGGAGAAAGACACTGCCAGAAATCAACGGGTCGGTCACACATGAAGCGGTCCTGAAGGACACGGATGGTTCTGTCTTCCCACTAATTTTTCTCTTCAGGTATTTTCTCCGAGTCGGACAAAGAGGAGGAAGCAGGTCTGGCAGGCAGCAGCAGGATGGTGGCGAATGGAGACAAAGATGACTCGGTCATTGTGGTGGAGTCGGTCAGGAATGAGGAGGTTATTGTCGTGAGGCCCAAAGTGAGGCAGGAGAGCTCGAGGTCTTCTGGAGAATCAGAAAATGGTAAATCAGGGGTATTCCCACCTCATACGGAGCTTTACTCCTTAGAGGCACAGGCCTGCATGGCAGCTTGGTCTATCCCTGAAAAATAATGATCAACAGAAGGAGGACATGGAGCTGTTGGAGCGGGTCCAGAGGAGGCCACGGAGGTGATCCGCGGGCTGGAGCGCCTCTGCTGTGGAGACAGGCTGAGAGAGTTGGGGCTGTTCAGCCTGGAGAAGAGAAGGCTCCAGGGAGACCTTCCAGCACCTTCCAGTGCCTAAAGGGGCTACAAGAAAGCTGGAGAGGGGCTTTGGACAAGGGTGTGTAGTGACAGGACAAGGGGCAATGGCTTGAAACTGAAACAGGGTGATTTCCATTAGATCTAAGGAAGAAATTTTTTTGCAGTGAGGGTGGTGAGGCACTGGACCAGGTTTCTCAGAGAAGCTGTGGCTGCCCCATCCCTGGAAGTGTTCAGGGCCAGGTTGGATGAGGCTTTGAGCAACCTGGTGTAGTGGAAGGTGTCCCTGCCCATGGCAGGGGGGATGGAACTGGATGATCTTGAAGGTTCCTTCCAACCCAACCATTCTGTGATTCTATGGTACAGACAGACCCAGACACGTGCTCCACGTGGTGAGACGAAGGGTAGCGATGTGTTCCTTGGGGCACCTCCCTTGGGTGTGATTTACCAAGGGGAGTCAGTATTGAGGGAAACTCATGCTGGTCCCCAAGACTGCTTG